ATAAAAAATCAAGAACATCTATTTCTTCCAGTAAACATTCTTTATTTACAGGATGAATCAGATCGTAGTTTTATCAAATGTGACTTATTCTTTTTACATCAAATGGTCATACTTTTAGAAATGAATAGCTGAATGATCAATATATCGTTATAAGAACATTAATTAAGTTTAGTGCACAGAATAATAGCAAAAAAAAAGAACAGATGTTTTTTAGGTTGGTTTTAGTTTGTCACTGAGATTGAGACGTTTCTTGCGACGACGTTTGCGAACTTTTTTTCGCTGTTTAATTTTCAAATCTGTCAGATGAGGAAAGGTTAATTCGACGATTGGAAATGGTGGTTGAGAAATCAGAATGGGTACATTAATTGGTTGTAGAAGATCAACATATGATTGACGATGCTGTTTGTTTGAAATAATTTCAGTTATTTGATTCGTGAGATGACGAATTCCTAAACATCCAACAATTATCAGATAAGATTCTCTTGAAAAAAATCACCAAATACGATATACTCACCTGTAGGTGAAAAGTGACATTTATCTTTGACAAACAAACTCTTATAATTATCGCACCATGGATGCATACGTGTTAAATGTTTGAATTCGAGCTGATTGGTTATATTCAAACAGATCTCAGTAAGTTCAACAAATTGACGATTTTGTATGTCATTCGAAATCGTATGTGGAATAGGTGACATCCATATCAGAATTGGTTGATTGTTCTCGCGACGAGAAAAAGCAAACTTTAATTTTGTTAAAACAATAGGCAATTCTGATTCGAATCTTTGTAGAGTGGTTTGAAAATTCCAATTCATTATCTCTAATCGATGACTATTTAAAAAGCATTAAAAACTTTTATCAAGCTGAAAATCAAATAATACAATACGTACAAGGATAAATCTGGATAAGCGCACGATGCCACTAGAACATCAATGGGATCGCCCTGCGTAATTTGTTGCAACCATTCAATATTTAACGGACAATTTGTATTGAAAATAGTTCCCAGATGAATAAAATACACTACGGTCGATGAAGCTTCACAAACAAAACGACGACAATCAATATGATTGTACATTCCGGGAATACCACTTGTTTCAATTTGAACTTCATCTTTTAAAAAAATGTTTGAACTCAATTAACATTAATAGAAAAAAAAATGAAGGAGTATCTTTAATCACACATGTATCTAAAAATCAACCTGCTCTATAGAATATAGCACTCTGAAACAATACTACAACCGTCCTTTTAAATAATTAACACTTACTGGCATATAATCGATGATATGTATGTCCTGTTTTAAGTTCAGCATCATTCATAAGTTTACCCTTATGTAATAACCGTAACAGATCACGGTAGTTCTTCCGTATATTGTTGTCTCCAAAAAAAACGATATTTTTGCGTTGGTAAATACGCAAGGTATTGGTTTGATCAAAAACAGGAAGACCATTTTCTACTACATTAGTAGATGCGGCGGCAATAGGAGCAGCAGTAGCAGAAAATGATGATGGTGAAGATATGGATTGAGCGGGTTTTAGACGAGGAATTTTACTCAAAGCTTGGATCGGAACCAGAGTAGAAGAAGGAGATATTACAGTATCAGGATGACAGAGTAATGATGAAGTCATTGTTGATTAATAATATATCTAAAAAATTGAAATTAAACTGCACAAACTATTATCACGCAGCTCTTTTGAAACTATTATTTCTTTTTGATTGATGTTCATTGTTTGAAACAAAGATGAATCGCCTTCCTACTTCACTACTAACCTCTATAGTGTATTGCTACCGATCAGCGCCATCTTCATTAACGGCCTCTCTGTCTCCACACATTTTCGAAAAATTTTCTTCCCATCCGCTATATACATATATATGTCGTATCGAAGTTACACCGGTCGACGAAGTTAATTTTGATTCATCTATCAATAAATAATTTACTTCATTGAATATCCTACTGTTGAATATATAATCAAAAATAAATTTTTTTAAAATAAATATTCATTTATTTAAGAATATTCTTAAATAAATGAATATTTA